TAGCGATGCCCCTTTTTTCCTGCCTGAGATCCGGGCGTCGGGACTGAGGGTTGGGAGGAGGGAAACCTCCTCCTCCTCCTCCTCCTCCTCCTCCTCCTCCCTCCTCCCTCCCTCCTCCTCCTCCTCCTCCTCCTCGTCCTCGTCCTCCTCCTCCTACTCCTCCTCCTTCTCTTTCTCCTCACACTCCTCCTTCTCCTCTTCCAGTTGTTCCTTGTAACTAATTCCTCCCAGTCGCACCCCGAAGCTGGTCACAAGCGGGCCGAGCGTTTTCGCTTGTTCCTCACCTCTAGTGACCCTGAAGCTGAAACATGGGCAACATATTCATAGATGGAGGGCGTGTCGCTTCCAAAATATCAGCCAGCGTTGACTCGAAATGGAGTAGACGACTCAAATCAAGGAATCAGAGGAATCAAGCATGCTTGGAATCCGCAACTCAGCAAGCAACCAAGCGTGCAAGCAAGCGCGCAAGCAAGCAAGCGCGCAAGCAAGCAAGCAAGCAATCAAACAATCAAGTAAGCAAGCACGCGCGCAAGCAAGCAAGCACGCAAGCAAGCACTCATTGGAAACATAGGCATAAGCATAGGCATCGGCATATGAGCGCTCAGAGGTGATGCATAGGCATAGGCATAGGCACAGGCACAGGCATAGGCACTGGCGTAGGCATAGGAGTTCGCGGGGAGGCATCGGCATAGGCATAGGCATAGGCATAGGCCTAGCCATAGGAATTAGTGGGGCATAGGAATTAGGGGGGGCAATGGACCAATTAGTAAGGTTTGAGTTCGAACTCCTATAGGGCAAGCCTGTTTGGAGAATATGGCTCTCGCCTAGGCGCCGCGCACTTTGCACGTTCGTCTCAAAACACCGCAAGAGCTTCACGGATTGAGGGCGGCTGTTTTTCAACACGTGGTTCTCACTGCAGCGCGGCGCACATTCGCCCTGAACATTTGCAAGAGTTTCACGGATTGAAGGCGGTTGGTTTCAACATGTGCCAAAGACCACGACGGAGTTCTTGGTATGCGCAGCAACAAAGGAGTGGGGAAGATCAAAACCACGCTTCATTGAGCAGTGAGTGGTGTATTGTTGTATAGTATTTGCGCAGATATTATTATATACCATTATTTGCCTCTTCCTCTGCCCTGCCCCTCGCTCCTCGCTCCCCCTCCTCTGTTTCACCCTGTCATCCTTCCGCGGCGCCCCGTCGCCCCCCTGCAGTGCTCCCGCGGCGTCTCGACGCAGGCCTCATGGCGGCATGTCCGCATGCATTCAAAATGTGCCTCTCGCCTCAGCGCCGCGCACATTCGCTAACCATTCGCGCAAAGGTTGTAAGGATTCCCATGGCCAACGTACCAGAATTGTGACTTGGAAGGGTTCAGGATCGGGAGGGTGCAACAGTTACGCTGGTTCGCAGTATTGAAGTCCCAGGAATGGTCTTCTGGCACGATTCAGGATCGTCAAGACGCAACAGTCAGGTTGATCCGAGGCGTCGGAGTCCCGAGCATTGTGTTTTCGCACGCTTCAGGGTCGTCAAACGGTTGTCTCCCAACGAGGCAGTTCCTTCAGTGGAAATGACCCCTTGTAGGGGCCTGTGAAGAGGGAGCTTGGAGGGAGGGTTTATCCCAACATCGCTGATGAGTCTTGGGTTTGTACTGGTCCTCCTCCTCCTCCTCCTCCTCCTCCTCCTCCTCCTCCTCCTCCTCCTCCCCAGACCTCCGACGTCTTGAGAAAACGCAGCGGATGTGTGTCGCTTCCTTCGGCCCCTGACGGCCCAGGCCGGGCCCCAGGACCGCCACAACGGCTCGGGACGAAAAACCAGCTCCAGGTGCTGGGCCCTCTTCCCGCCCACCCACGCCGCCGTGGCCGCTCCTGGGCTCAGATGCTGGCGCGCACTGCCAGGGCTGGCCGCGAAGGCGGCCAGGGTGCGCGGCGGCCACTCCCGCCGCGGCGCCCGCGTCGAGCGGGCGCTGCGGGCGCGCGGCCCGCCGCGGCCAGCCGCCGCCGCCGCAGATGGCGGCCGCGCCTGGCGGCCGCTCCGCGGCGGCCCGCGGGGTCGTCGTCGTCGTCGTCGTCGTCGTCGTCGTCGTCGTCGTCGTCGTCGCCGCCGCCGCCGCCGTCGTCGTCGTCGTCGTCGCCGTCGTCGTCGTCGTCGTCGTCGTCGTCGTTGTCGTCGTCGTCGTCGTCGGCGGCGGCAGCAGCAGCGGCGGCGGCGGCGGCGGCTTCGGCGGCGGCGGCGGCGGCGGCGGCGTCTGCGTCGTCGTCGTCGGTCGCCGTCGCCGCGCTGGCCTTCGCCCGCGGCGGCCTCGCCCCTGGCCCAAGGTGCTCCCGGGATTTCCAAGGAGGCCCCCTCGGCCTGCAGACAGGTGGCGGAAGCAATTCAGCAACACTCACGCGCAGCATATGGTTTGAACTCCCCTCCCCCTCCCCCCGAAGGCCATGTTGGTTTCAGATCTTCCGAGTTCGAGAGTCCGAGCGATGATGCGTAACCGTGCCGACTGTGAATTGCGGGGGTGGGGGGAAGTATTGATGATTTGGTTCCCTCAACTGTAGCACCCCTCACGAGGCCCAGAGGGCTCCAGGGGCGCTAGGATTGACCAAAAAGCTTGCGGCACCCTGGGCGAGGGGCACCTCTGGCAACCCCCGGGCGCCAGTGGGGGAGTGGCCTGGGGGGGGATGCATCGACCCCCAATCTCGACGACGGGAAAACTGCATACACAGTAAGCTTGTGGAGCCTCGCGCAGATTTCTTGGATCGGACTCTTCTCCCCGGCGCGCGGAGCGCGCCAGGGGCGGCGCCGGAGGCGCCGCCAGGGGTTCCAGCGCGGATTCAAGAAATCCGCGCAGAGCTCCAACAGTTTATGCCGTTTCTTCGTCCCCTACAACCGCCCATTCATCGCCGAAAGGAGCCTGATAGCCACATCCCGCCCAGGAACATTCGGATTCGCTGTCGGTGGCCTATCGCCGATCTATCGGCGATGCATCGCCGATTCCAGGTCGATGCTTCCCCCCGAGCCAGTCCCCCTATCGTTGCCGCTCAGGGGGACGGCGGGCAGACCTCTCGATCCCTCGATAGAGGATCGAGGTTTCTGTTGGAGTCAGCTGGGGGGAGAGGGCCTGACGTGGCCCAGCATTGGTTCCGGCCAGCAGGGAGGGGTGGGGACGTTCGAGGTTCTGCATTTTTGGCTTCCGTGGCCGTTTTCGGGCCCCGGGACCGTCAAAGACGGGTCCGGGGTGACAGGCTGCACCAGATGGACCCCGGGAGGGGTCTGGGGACGGATTTTGAGCGGATTCGCCATTATCACCCAATCTTGACCGATTTTCTCAGGCCAGACCTCGATCCTAGACTGGCTCGATCCCTCGAGGAAGGATCGGTGCGATCGACATGGGTGCGGAAGGACTCGGGACGAAGACTGACAGCAGTTCCCGTCCATTTGAACAGGACTCGCTGTCGGCGTCGCCACAGAAGTTGCCCCTTTGAGACACACGTTAGCCTGCCGAACAGCGGCCGCTGTCGATTTGGGACAACATTTGCCGTTGGGAATTGTACTTATTTAGTTCCGTACCCATGTCGGCGTGCCAGACGGATCGAGGTTTTTAAACGTTGTTGTTTTTTTGTTAAGCTTCCAGTGGCGCCTAGATGTCACGGCAGGATCCGCTTTTAAATTTCTGGTCTGGACGCGCCACAGGAGAGATATTTGAGGAGGAAGCAAGAGGTAGGATGGAAAAGATACCGACGCCGCTGCGATTCTCTCGCCGCCACGGCGGGATTCGCCCTGAGGTCCTAGTCGGAACGCGCCCTTGGAGAGGTCTGGCGGGCAGAACTCGATCCCAGATATGCGACAAACTGATTCTTTCTCCCGCGTTTTTCTTTGCGCTCGGCCCCCTGGGGGGGCCGGCTTCTGGCTCCGGGGCAATCTGAAAATCATACGGAACGAAAATCTAACTCCAGTGATGCGGTCGGGACCTTTGGGGCCACTGACAGAAACAATTGTGTCGGAGGATCCAGGCTTTTGGGCGTTTCTGGGGTCTTGGGCGCCTGCCCTGTGTGGGGCTCACCATCCTGCGACGACCGGCCGGGGGCCCTCCTCGCACACGCTGGCAGGGGGCTCGGTGGACGTGTGAGGAGGCGGGGTGCGGGAGCAGGAGGCGGGTGAGGGGTGGAGGATGAGAAGGAGGAGGAGGAGGAGGAGGAGGAGGAGGAGGAGGAGGAGGAGGCGGATGCACGGAGGTGGATGTGGTGGTGGAGGAGGAGGAGGAGGACGAGGAGGAGGACGAGTAGGAGCAGGAGGAGGAGGTGGAGGAGGAGGAGGAGGAGGTGGAGGAGGAGGTGGTGTTGGTGGAGGCGGAGGAGGAGGAGGAGGAGGAGGAGGAGGAGGAGGAGGCGGAGGCGGAGGCGGAGGCGGAGGCGGAGGCGGAGGAGGAGGAGGAGGAGGAGGAGGAGGAGGAGGAGGAGGAGGGTGTCCGCCAGGGCGAGGATGGAAGTGCTAAGGGCAGCCAAACAGATGCTCATGTGGGGTCCTTCCGTCGGAGTCATTTTTAAGCTTCAGGGTCATAAGTGAAGCGGAAGTCTCAGGCGAAACGCCCAGCCTGCCCTAAAAATTGGCCTCGGGGTGCGACAGGGAGAAGATATTTATAAGGAAAAGGAATGGAGGAGAGCTGTCTGTCTCGCTGGGGGCGGGCATCTGGGAGCCGAGCGTCAAGGGGGAAAGCCCTCAGCGGGGGTGGGGTGACAACCCCCGGGGCCCCCCCAGGAACCCCCTCAGGACCAATCCCCGGGACCCCCCTTGGGACCCCCTTCTCCCGCGGCGGGAAAGGGGCTTTCCTTCGACCTAAGTGCGACATTGTTCGATCCCCCTTGTTTGTTCGATCTCCCTTGCGACGATTCAAAAGAGGCTGGCGTCCTTCAGTTTGGGTTGGGCTGGCCTCGCGCCGAAGGGCCCCTTACACACGCCGACTGGGTCGGCGGATTCAAGGCAAGAGGTGGGAGGAGGGAGGACCCCCCCGTCAGGCCCACGGCGGCAAAGGCGGCGGGCGAGGCAGGGGGCGAACTCGTGCGCACCACGCAGACCGGCGCAGCTCCTTCCCGTGGACCGGGGGGCTCGGGCGGGAGGGGTGCTGGGGCAGGGGGAGGGGCAGGAGGAGGTGGAGGAGGGGGAGGAGGAGGAGGAGGAGGAGGAGGAGGAGGAGGAGGAGGAGGAGGAGGAGGAGGAGGAGGAGGAGGAGGAGGAGGAGGAGGAGGAGGAGGAGGAGGAGGAGTAGGAGGAGGAGGAGGAGGAGGAGGAGGAGGATTCGTGGGATTCGTGGCATGAATGACAACGGTACTCACTTGGAGGGAAGGCCAGACGAGTTAACCTTCGAGTCTGGACAGCTCGGCATCCGCCACGTGCTTTGGTGGTCCGCCAACGTTGGGATACAGGCCCCTCTGAATTCTCGCGAGATTCTGGGCACCTTTCGGGGAGGGCGTGCACCGATCGACGAGCCAACGTGGGTCAGAAGTGGCCGATTTGCCACACACACACACACACACCGAGCAAAACGTTAAATTATACCGCCCCCAAAACTGGAGCTTGTGGGACGGGTGAAGCAACTTCCCTGCGACCGTCTGTGGGCCGCTCAGGGGGGAGAAGCCAGTCCCTAAAGGACTTGGCCGACACTGGGTGAGGGTCCCCGCGCGAATGGACTCTCGGGTCTCGAACTGAGAGAACAACCCTACAGAAAAACTTGCGCCCGACTCTGCGCCAGTCGTGGGCGCTCGCCTGGAGGGCCCGAACCAGGACAGGAAGCCTCGGCCCCGCGGGGACTTCAAAGCGGCACGCGGTCCAGGGATCGGCTTGGATACACGCGGCCAGAGCTCTCCGCGCCCGACGACGGGTGAGGGCGGCCTCCGCATCTACCAGATCAGTGTGGGGGAGGGGCCCTATGCGGCACTCAGCGTTGGCGCCCGCTTGGGCCCCCATCCCCGCCAACACATCAGCACATTCGTTACCTACCACTCGCTGGAGGTTCGATTCGTGAATTTCGTCCTCTTCTACATGTGAGGGGACCCAACAAACCTGAATTTCTCTACCTACCGAGGCCACTTCGATCCTGGTCCATAGGTCAGTGTTGGTCGGAACCGACGACTGATGACGACGAACGCCTTTGGACCAGACTTGGGCCAGGGGGTAGTGGTCTGTGATAAACCGGATGTTGCCAGACACCCTCTCGAGGAGGGTCGCAAAGGTGGAGAACTCGGCTCGGGGCACAGTCTGGGCTCGGCAGACCAGGGAAGACGAGACGCTGAAGAAGGGGTCAAAAGCTCTGGACCCAGACCCCAAGGCGAGGAAACCGAAGCCCGCACGTCGCCGACGCCTGTCATCGCTGTGCTCTCCCCCGAGCCGTCTCCGAAAAACACTCTAAAGCCCTGCTCATCTCTCGGAACCTCCTCGAGGGCTCCGAACTCAGAAACAACTTCTTTTTCCTCATCGTACAGGGGCACAGTGGCGGCGGTCGGCGGGACGCCGCGTAGCCACAATGCAGGCTACGCTTCGTGGTTCGCCATGGCTTTGCCGAGCAGGTGGTCGCTGCCGGCGTAGTCCTTGTGGTCGACGTTGTGCCGACAAGTCCAAATTCTGTGAAGCAGAGATTTCGTGTGGAACCCGCACCTTGAGCAAGCCAAGCCGACGTCGTAGCCAGCAGCCCGTAGTCGTTCTCGCGGCCATTGCCCTCCAGTGCAGACCACGTAGTTGAGGGCGACCTGATCGAACTCGCCTAGCTTGGTGAGGCGGTCCTGTTCTCGTCGAATGTGAAGGAAGTCTCCGCCGCTGTGCAGGTCGTCTCCCGCCTCGTGCTTGGAGGCGTTCTGCCACAGGGTGCGGTCGATCGAATCCTGGATGTCCGTGATGATCATCGAGTAGTCGCCGTTCATGTGCGTGAAGCTGGAGTCCTCGGTCGAGGGGATTAACCAGCTCTTGCCCGCGTCAGTGTCCCACTGGGTTGCCGAGACGGGCTCCCAGTTGAGGTCCAGGAGTGTGGCGATGGTGGCGCCGACTGGCCCCTTGACCAGTCGCCACTTGCGCTGCCTTGCTGCCCGAAGCCGTGCAGCCAAGCCGTCCCACGTCTTGCACATGCGCGGGTGCAACTCTGGGCAGCGCCTCCAAAGCGTGAGCCAAGAGCCGATCTGCTGCCTGCGGATGCTCTTGGCGGGGTCGTCTTCGCCGCACGTCATGGCGAGAGTGGTGGTGAGGCACCTGCCTGGGCCAGCTCCCGCTGCTGCTCGCCCAGCTTGACGTCGGAGCCTCGCCATCTCGTAGGCGGGGACTCCGTAGTGCTGGTGCCCGTGCGTGCCCTGCGGGAGAGCTCCAGTGCCCCATAGCCCGCGCGAGATGCGCTGCAGGCGGGCGGTGCGGCGCACCATCTGGATGGCAGCAGCTCGGCGAGCAGCCTGCGCCATCCGCTGCTTGGCCTTGCGCCTGTTACGCGTTCGACCAGCGGACACGTCTGCACCGAGGTCCGTGGCCGTCGACGCGGCTGCGGCGGGGATGCCCTGCTTCCTCAAGCCGCTGACGATGCGGTTCGTGAGCTTGCTCGAGGTGGTGACTACTACCGTCTTTGGGCTGATAGTTAGGCCTAGGGCTGATAGTTAGGCCTACGTCGATCATGGCCTTGCCGACGAAGGCCCCCGAGGAGACGAGCGTGCTCTCCACCCTGCTCTCAGTGCCCTCCGTCCTGATGATCGTGTCGTCCACGAACGTGCGCATCATGATGGAGAGCTGGTATCGCTGGTGGGCAGCCTGCCACAGCGGCCCGAGCATGGTTTTGGCGAGTTTCCCTCCGTGCGGGGACCCCGCCACCACGCTCTTCCCCACGGTGATGGCCCTGCTGAGCCACTGTCCTTCTCGAAGATACCGTGGGGCTAAGTACATCTGCAGCTCCATGGCTAAAGCGATGGCTGGGAATCCTTGCTTCATGCATGCCACGCAGAGCAAGGGCATGGGGGTGCCGTCGTAGAACTTCTCCAGGTCGAGCAGGATCGTGCCGACAGTGATCCCGGGAGTGGAGCAGCACTCGTCCATGACAGCCTTGGTCAAGGAAGCTTGCACTGCGCTGCTCTTGCGTACCGCTGCGTCCCAGGACTCGGCGAGCTCGTCGCACCAGGATTCACATAGGGGGTAGCGCATATCCGACCACACCTTCATCGCAAATGGGAGCTGCCCCAAGGTGCGGTCGCCCCCCTTGGGCTTGGGCGCTACAGCGCCAACAACTGCGAAGAACTGGAAGGGCCACATCACGCACTTCTCGCAATCGTTCAGGATGTGGACCAGTTCTTCTCGGCCTGGTCGTGGAAGTCGTTGGACCTCGATCGGCCCCAAGTTGTCTACCCCTCGGCTCTTCTTGGGGTTCTGACGGGCGAGGACAGCGTCCAGGTCATCGAGCTGGAATGGTTCGGCATCCTCCTGCCTGGCCCTGTTGATGACGACGCCTAGCCCACGTAGCACCTCGGACTCGCCAGCCGAGGGGTCGCTCCAAATACGTTCCCAATCGTCGGCTCTCCTGTCCATGATGATGGCTGGCGTGGCGTGCGTGTGGCCGTTGGAGTCCGTGTGCTAGGGCTTCGGCTGGACGGGAGGCTTGACGTGCTTGTGGAGCAACCCAGGGGCCTGCTTCCACATCTTCGTAGCCCATGACGTGTAGGCTTTCTGTGATCTTGTGAGGCTGATGCCGATCGCTCGGACTTTGTACCTCTCACCTGTGTCAATCAGGTCCTGGATGTCCCGGAACTGCTGCGTGTGAGATTGCCGACAGCGGCCATCCACACGAACAGCTCCTCGTCGTCTAGGAACGGCTTCTGGAGGTCGTTGTCGACGGCGACAGCGAGGATCTCCGCAATCTTGGATTCCAGACGGCTGGCCTCCAAAGTTGCTTCCGCTCGTCGTAAATGCTGATATCGTACCAATAGCGTGGTGGACAAATGCCACCATTCCAAGAGCGGGTCGCGCATATGTGGTCGGCATGGCGTGGCACGAGTACGCTTCCAACCAATAGCATACCCGATGTCGCGGCCCATATACTCGTCGTGCTTGTCCTCTGGGATGTCGTGATGGACGAGCGTGGCCTTCTCTACGTTGTGGGCCCATGTCGCGAACCTCTCGGCGATCTGGTTCTGTCCGTGTATGTCCCTTTGAAGAAGGTAGTGCGACTTGAGGCCGGAAGCGAAATCGACCTTCTCGCCCTCCTGTGAACCGATTTGTAAACTCAGCGATTGTGAACGGCACGGATGTGTCGAAGCTGGCCCACACGTGGCAGACTTCGAAGCCGAAGGAACGGGGGCAGTCTTGGACAACACGGACTCGCGGGGAGGGAGGGTGGCAGGTGAGGCACCGTGGCGAAACCTTCCCTCCCCGATACCCGTCTGTGCGACCTTCTCCTAGAGGTCGAGCGGGATAGCGAAGCCGACGTGCTGCGTCGGCGAGGTGTCGATGTGCTCGTCTTGGTGAAGCTCTGCGTGTGCTTCCTGTAATGCGTGGTCGAGTGCAGCTTGCCGTTGGGCCCGTCGCTCGGCGATGGCCTTCTGCCTCTTGCTGTTCGGGTCGGCCTGCTTCGTCGGCCGAGGGGGCGTCGGCAACTTGCTTAGGAACGACCAATACTCTGTTCCACCAATGCTGCCTACCAGCTCAAAGTGAGAGAACGAGTCCGACGTGGGTCTTCCAAGGTACCTCGGCAATCGTCTCGAGCTTGACCTTGTCAGCAACTCCCTTCTTGCACATGCCGTAGTCTATGAGGGAGCCTTTGCCGAGGTTGCAGGTGGTGGCGCTGTTCGTCGGGAGGATGAGCTCGGCGCCGAGTTTGCGCAGCCATCCTGTCTTCTCCCACGTCGATGGCGGACTGTTCCAATCTGCGAGAATAATCCAGGGGTCCGTCAACGGCAGCAGAAAGCTCGCCAGCCTTATGAGCATCTTGCCGTTGGGGCCCTGGAATCCGAACTTCGGCTGCATGTAAGCCGCGATGGCGATGATGTTGCCTGTCATCGTGTGCCAGACCGTCGGGCAGAAGCCCGTGAACGGGTCGCTGTGGGTGCGGGCGATCTCGTGCTGTCGCCAACCCTCTAA